TAAAACGTTTCGTAGCATTTTCTAATTACTACAGGAAGTTTATTCCGAATTTTGCCGAAATTTGCATACCATTAAACAATTTATGTCGTAAAAACGTAACTTATAATTGGGATGAAAACTGCCAGAAATCATTTTCTATGTTAAAAAACTGTTTAGTAAAACCTCCGGTATTACAATATCCTTTGTTTGATGACAGTAATACTTTTATTCTTCAAACCGATGCGTCAGGGTACGCTATAGGTTCAGTTTTGTGTAATGCTGATCGTAGGCCAATTGCTTACGCCAGCCGAAGTTTAAACAAGGCCGAGTGCAGATATCCTACAATTGAAAAAGAATTGTTAGCGATAGTATGGTCCGTCAAATATTTTAGGCCTTATCTCTATGGAAGACAATTTATTATTGAAACGGATCATAGGCCTTTAGTATACTTGTATAACTTGACAGATCCTTCCAGTAGATTATTAAAATTTCGGTTATTACTAGAGGAGTACGATTACAAAGTGGTTTATGTGAAAGGGCGTGATAATGTAGCTGCAGATGCATTGTCGCGCATAGAAGTGACTGGTGAAGAATTACGGGCGATGAACGAACACATTGTGTCTGTACTTACTAGAGCGAAGAGACGGGAGCTTGAGAAAAATTCTGGTAATCATACTTCGGTGGCTAATATTCCTAAAAACGATTGGACTGATCACCCAAGAGTTGTAGAAATGTTAAAACTACCGAAGGATTACACGGAATTGGTATTTGTGAATGAGAAAGAATGGATGAAAGTTAAAAAATATGTGTCTTTAAAGAATGGTGATTATGCGTATTCGGCGTCAGATCGCACCATATATGTAAAACTATTTACTCAATCACAGCGTACACGAGCGGTCTCTGTGAGAGAAATGGAATTATTTTGTGCTGATTTAAAAATAGATACTTTATATATAATTAAAGATGAAAATAACGTAAGAATAATAAAAGAGCTAGCTCAATATATAAATAAATTGCCTAAGTGGTCCGGACCCCGCTTATGCGTAGTAAAAGGCGTTAAAAAGATTGTCGACGACGATACAAAGAGAGTAATTTTGAACGATTATCATATTCTTCCTACTAGTGGACATGCAGGGATAAGACGTATGTTAAACAATATTCGTAAAAAATATTTTTGGAGTGGATTAGAGCGTGATGTTACTAATTTTGTAATGAAATGTAATAAATGTCAACGCTATAAATATTTAAATACAGTAAAAGAGCCTATGGTTATAACGGATTGTGGAAATTCAGCTTTCGATAAAGTATATATGGATCTAGTAGGTCCTTTACCACGAGATAACAACTATAACTACATTTTAACACTACAGTGTGACCTCACCAAATATGTCGAGGCGTATCCGATAGCGAGTAAGGATGCGCGTACGGTGGCCACAACACTGGTAAATAATTTTATTCTTAGATATGGCATTCCCCGTGAGATAGTAAGCGACAGAGGAACCGAATTTGTCAACAGCATAATGAAAGAGGTATGTACAATTTTACATATAAATCATTTACAATCTACAGCTTTCCATCATCAAACTTTAGGTTCATTAGAAAATAGCCATAAACACTTAACTTTTTATTTGAGAATGCAAGTTAATAGTCAAACACAGGAATGGAGTTCATGGGTATCCTACTGGTGTTTCTCATATAACACTTCAGTACATTCGAGTACAAAATTTACGCCATATGAATTAGTATTCGGGAAACAATGTAACATACCTTCCAACCTCACTACTACAATAGATCCGATTTATAATTTTGATAACTATGCTGTTGAATTAAAATATCGTATACAAAAGTCTCAAATGGATGCTAAAACCAATCTTATTAATTCTAAAATTATTAGAAAAAGTAAATATGATAGCAGTATAAATCCAATAACGTATAAAACTGGTGATTTAATATTGGTTAAAAATGAGAACAGTAACAAACTTGATCCATTATATTTAGGTCCATTTTCAGTAGTTAAGGACATATCTCCAAATGTTGTTATCTTAGTTAAGGGAAAGGAAAAAACTGTTCATAAAAATAGAACTAGACTGTATTATGAATAAGATTATATTCCTGTAACACTTTTGTTTGTAATTGTACGATATCAAATGAAGACTTGTACCGATGTCATTGTTTATTGTTTAGATTGTAAAGTGTACTGAAATAGATATTGGATACTAACTTACAATTAACTAATTATTATACAATGAAAAATGTATAAAAGCTGAATCTACACAATTGAATGAATTATGTTTAAATTAAAAAAAAAAAAAAAAAAAAAAAAAAAAAAAAAAAAAAAAAAAAAATGTTTTTATAGTTTACATTTTTTTTTCCTTTTTTGAGAGGGCGTGTGACGTAGTAAGTAATCATTAGTCTATAAGAATATAACATTGTATCTTTTAGGTAGAGAGGCATTAATAAACGTAACGTGTAACCAACAACATCTTGTTTGATTCTCCTAAGTCCCGTCCTTACAGTACACTACAGTCGAATCCCTACAGGATAAGGGAAAACTCAACCAAATTACATATTTAACGCGAGCAAATCTGCGGGCGGAGAGATTAAATATGTATGGAGTACTTTTGCTCGTGGTTTTGCTTACTTACATGTAAAATGAAGTATCTCCATTTAATACCTGAATGGTTCTTATGTGTTTAGGAAACAATTTTTTAGTTGACGTCTCTGTTGTTGGAGTTGTAAGTGTGGGAGAGTCATGCTTCGGTACGAATGAGTCGGCTCCACCGGAGTGATACCACGGCCCCACAGAAAACCGTCGTGAAGTAGCGGTTAAGTTGTGTTCCGCCGTGTGAGTGAGGTTATCGGAGACTTAATACTTAACCCTTAAATTCCAAATAACCCACAAGAGGCCGGCAACGTACTTCTCGTGACTCCTTTGGTACTACGAGTGTCTATGGGTGGCGCTGATTGCTTACCATCAGGTAATCTGATAAAAAAGTTGTTGTAAAAAATAACCTATGTGTAACTATTAAATTAACCCTTCGAACCCCAAGCGGTAACCGGTTGCCGGACCTTACGCACTGCCCCGTTCACTCAAACCCTAAGGGACAACCGGTTACCATTCTCTTGCATTCGATAATAAACCTTATTTCTGAGGTTTACAGACTACTTCTGTATAGAGAAGTTTGATTAGTTACGTTCTTTGATATATTATCTACATTCTGAATGAATAATATTACAATATCTGTGGACTGTCATTGTTTTGAAGGCAGTCAAATTTGTACAATGGAATATTTTCAGCGCCATCTTTGCGCAGGCGCTCGACCTGTCATAATTTGTCGGTAGGTTAGTGTCAAGATCGAAGGTTAAGTATATATTTTCTAATGATTGCTTAGGTACATAATATCTTTGATTACAGAACACAACTTTGATACTTTCATTGAACACTAAGTAAATGTATGTTATTTACAGTTGTTAAAAATATCGTAAACATTTCTATACTAATATTATAAAGAGGTAAAGTTTGTATGTTTGTATGTAGGGGGTTATCTTTAGAACCGCTAGTTGGATTGCCAAAATTCTTTCACTGATAGATAGCTACAATGTTCCTGAGTGCTATAGGCTATAAAACATCACGCTACGATCAAATGGAGCTAAGCAGCGGGTGAAACCGCACGAGAATAGCTAGTTTGTATATATACCATGAAATATATCTGTCTAATAAGAGTCCCAATATGACTTAAAATTAGAAGAGCTTTTATAAGTTAATTTACATAGCAAGTCATTGTTTTCAATAAATATTAAGAACATTAATACTAATTAATTACAGGTAAAGAAATGATTTGTATGTTTGAATGGGTTTGTCTCGGAAACTGCTGAACAATAACTAATTTATTACTTCATCTGAATTTTAACATTTTTTTTTGTTTTTTTTTGGGTTTATGTAAATTCTGTTTATCTAACAGTACTACACATACACACTGGTATTGTATCAAGTTTATGACAGTTACTTTATGATATTCAATAAACATTTTTTTGTTAGTACATTTGTATGGATGTTAACTCAAAAACTACTAAACAGAATTTCTAACAATATTTTTTCTTTTAGCAATGTTCAGCATGTTTAAAAGTCTAGATTTCGTCCTATGAGAACAGGATCGACCTACGCAACGCCGCGAGCGAAACATTACCTACAATAATTTGTCCTTCATAGAAACGATAAAAGTATAAAAAAAACAAGACAGTATTAGAAACTAATTTTATATAATATACTTACGTTTAATTTGCCACGGTTGTTGTTATTAATTTTATTATGCGTCACACGTCAGTAGTTTTATATCAAAACGTCTATCATCACAAAAGAATACACTTTTATCAAGAAAAATGGCTTTGCCTCTAGGGCATTTCAGCACCAAAATGGCGTATAATCATATTTACACTGTTCTATACGAATAAATAACGAACTATACACTTAATAGAAGCTAAATCATTATAATTAGATAATAAATAACATGAATTTCACTATTTTACGTTCAATTTTATCGAATTTCGGCTCCGATAATTTCTATAGGAAATCCCGATTTTGACATTTGTTATGTGTCAGCTAACGAAACGTCATTAGAGTGTGCAATGCGGGTCCTTTATGAAAACGTTTCGTTATTAGAAATTATTTTAATTTAAAATAATTCAATTTAATGTTTTATTTTAATAATTTATTATTTCATTCCATTAAATGTATGCATGATTTATTGTACAACCACTTCTAAATCAAAATATTGCCTATAAATGACTTTCTCGGTAGTATAATAGATGGCGCTGTAATAAATTGATTTAACTTTCCCACTCGCCAATGCAACATGATTTTCTTTTACAGATTTCTACGGATATTGTAGATAAATATCGATTCAATCGTATTCACAACAAAGTATAACTATTAATAATTAAAACTAGCTCAAACAGAAAACGTTAAATCATCCCACGTGATAAATTTACGTGCGTAGACGAAGTTCTTAAAATAGTATCTTCGACTAGACTCGATCAAGCACATTGGTTTGTGTTTTAGAAGTGAAAACATTTAAAATGCGTGAAATTGTGCACTTGCAAGCGGGCCAGTGTGGCAACCAGATCGGCTCAAAGGTGGGAAACACAAAAATCTTTAATATTTTTTCAAAAAACTTGAGTCTTAAAGAACATCTATTTTTACGTTAGTTACACTTGGACAGACTAACGGTAGCCTATAACAGTTACAATAAGAGATAATATTTTCCGTTCATTGCGTTTGAAAAAGATTAAAACAGGTTGTATGTTGCAAATAGAATTGATTACTTGAAATTGTACTAACGCAGCGAGGATTACGCGCGCAAAAATTTAAAAAATTTCGAACAGACAAAAAAATTATTGGTAGTTAACCTGAGCTCTTAATTTGGATAAATCAAAAATTACAAATTCGACTTGTTTGTAATCCATCTATGCTTATTCCTTATCTGTATAAGGCTTTGAGGCTTTTGGCAAATAATTTGATGGTGTTCTAATTATTTACGGCTGATTTTTCAATAGTCTAATTTTCAATATCTGCGAAATAAAATTGTTGCTGTCACTGTTTTATACAAACATTGTGACGCGACATCATCATAATTATTCCCCAGGTAACTTTTATCTAACCATTGGAAAATCACCCCTTAAAATTAAATTTCAAATTCATTCTTTCTGTAATTTATTTTAAGTATTTAAACTTCATTGTACCTACTTTTTGTTCGTTTAAAGGCTATGACCAATGTGCCTATAATCTGTGTGCGTTTTTGAGTGGGTATTGTTATCAACTTTCTCCTGCTTTGAGTAGGGGTGAGAGCGTCAGACTCTTACTGACTAAAAACCACTACGCGCCTTTTCCTTCTCCAAGGACCTCCACTACGGCCGCCGGGGTCAAGGGATGATCACCGGCGCGGGTCTGCGGCGGCGAGCTACCCTTGTAGCTCGCCGCCCGACCAGAGCCAGACCCGAGCGTACGGGGCGTAGCGTTCCGTGCGCGCCTCAAAGACCCAATAGACCACCACAGACGGGGCCCTATAAGACACCGCGACCTCGGCCTAGAGGAGGAGACAGAACAGGGGGGTTTTTAATCAGTAAGAGTCTGACACTCCCTCTCGCCACACAGAAAGCAGGAGAAATCATTCATGATTTTCATTCTCAAAAAAACTTGTTTTCATTCAGCCTATAGGTAAGTATTTATATATGCACTGGTGTAGGTACACAGGTCTGCGTGTGTGTGTGTAAACATGTTTTTGCTAGTAAACATTGATTTAAATTAGTTGCGCTTGCGCAGAAGCTAGTTAAAAACGTCAAATGAGTTTATTTATTTATTTATAAATCTTACCTTAAACTACCATTACAGATTTCTCCAATGCGATAGCTTAGGCCTACCTATAACTAAATCTAAGTACTTATTTACTAATTTAAACCAACATAACACAATCAAAAAGAAATCATACAACACCTTAATTATGAACTAAACTTTAGGATTAAAAACATACAAAGGAAAAAATATAAGAAAAAAACATTACCTGTCTTCTTAAACTCAAAATGCAGATACCCACCTGTAACATAACTTACTTAATCAAGGAGTATGTAATTACTTAATCATTAAAAAACCTAACATTAATCTATAAAAGTAAATGATATAATACTGTCGACAGAGTTGTTTTATCTCCTCCCAAACAGGGCTTCAGAGGTCACTGAATAGGTAGGTATTCTTATGTCATACTTATATATGAGGGGTTGCCCTCAGCTCTTTCGCCGACCTAAGTGGCCCATGAACAAAAATACAAAGACAGTAGAGTTACGTGCGAGATTTTGGGATTAGGGAGCGATGGGAGGGGAAGAATCGGGCCTCGTATTTTTCTACACTCATTAGTTTAATTGCTTACCATCAGGGGCCCGAGTCTACTATTTTCAAAGTGTTGTCATTCCTACACGATTCCATTGTCATTTGCTAAAAGTTCATAATCTGTTAATTCAAAATGGCTGATCATTGGCGTTCGGCGAAGTCGTAATAGAATTATATGTAGTACTTACGAGATATCTTGTAACGAATTATAAACAATAACTGCACATTAATATTCTAAACGTAAATCATTGAATAAAGGAACTGACATTTTTTTATTAATTTACCGCATTATGTCAAATATTCATTTGTCATTATGTGCGAGATTACCGTTCGAAAGAATTAGGTATTTCAATGAAGTGGCATTGGAAAGTCATAATGACGCTATCGTGTTAGTAGATTACCAAAACTTGTCAAAATCAACGATTTTGAAACCAATGATCTACTATTCTGACACTATTGTAATAGCAGACTCGAGGCCCTGGTAATCCGTATGATCGTTTGCCGACTTATGAAATAAAGAAGAACATACCTACGTCACATAGCTCTGACTGAGTGTACGCGCAGGCGATGTATAGATGTTATCTACATATTAATAACGTAAGGTAGGTATAAAAAGGGTGATAAAAACCTTGAGATTGTAGATTTTAAGTTTTAACTAGATAGTCATTTGGTCGAAGCACCGAATATGGCAAAAGTATTAGATTTTCATTCAAAAACAATTCACACATGTGAACAACATTCACAAACAACAATTTGTGGATCACTTAAAGAGTTGTTTCGTACGGGAATCGTACTGCGATACCTACGTTGCGCGGCAGTCAGTTGCCAGTTGCAGGTATTCTGCTGTATAGTACCTACGTTTCAAGTGTGGGAAAGCCATGCTTCGGCACGAATGTGGCCGACCGAAGTGATACCACGGCCTCACAGAAAACCTGAAACTGACCCGTTACCGGAGGCCCAATCCTATTCCTCCCCAATCCATAAATCTCCCAAATCTCTAATACCCAAAAGGTCGGCAACGCACTCGTTCTCCTCCGTTGTTGCGGAGCGGCGCTGATTGCTTACCATCAGATAATCCGTCTGCTCGTTTGCCGACCTATTACATGAAAAAAGACCGAATAACATAAAAGTGGGAGAATACGCTGAAAACCAAATAATAGCGAAATATTCGTGGCAATTCTAGTTTAACCAATCAATATTACATAGGTATATTACTAGCTTTTGCCCGCGACTTTGTTCGCCTGGTAGAGTGACTTTCTGCCGATTTTTTGGAAAAATTAAAAAACTATCCTATGTGCTTTCTCGAGTTCCAAACTATGTCTGTACCAAATTTCACAGAAATCGGTTTAGTAGTTTAGGCTTGAAGAAAAGACAGACAGACAGAGTTACTTTCGCATTTATAATATTAGTTTGGATTTATTGTGGAAGAGCCATGTTCCAGCTTAACCGGAATGATACCACAGCTCTTTTTTTTATGTAATTGGTCGGCAAACAAGCAGACGGATTACCTGATGGTAAGCAATCAGCGCCGCCCATGCACACCCGCAACGTAGGAGTTACGTGTGCGTTGCCGACCTTTTAGGGATTAGGGATTTGGAGATTTAGGGATTGAGGAGGGATTGGGGGCGGGGAAGAATTGGGCCTCCGGTAACCTCACTCACACGGCGAAACACAGCTCTTCGGAATACCGGTGTGAATCACCACTACTTAACATTGTGTTTCGCCGTGTACAAACCATGGGGCTACCAAAAGCCTAATCACTCTTCTCCACTAACCTCTATCCCTTACAGCATATAAATGATAACGCACTTTGAACTCATTTACACCCGGTTTCCGAAAAGCCGATCAATGTTAAAATCAATTTAATCTCTTGTCAAGTCATCTGATTGGTTGACTGAATTATCAACAACCAATCAGATGACTTGACAAGAGATTTAACAGGAGATTAGTTAATTTTAGCGTTGAAAAACTTCAGCTTCAACTTTCAGAAACTGGGTGTAGTGTTAGAAATGGGAGATTTCAATTGCTTACCATCAGGTAATCCGTCCGATCGTTTGCAGACCTGATGACGATGACTTTTGCCTTTATTGTTATAGTTCTGGGAGATTATATCCGACGAGCACGGCATCGACCAAACTGGCTACTACCGCGGAGACTCCGACCTTCAGCTCGAGAGGATCCAAGTGTACTACAATGAAGCCGCTGATGGTATGTGCCATACTCAAAATCATCAAGTCTCTTCGCATAGAGTGACGCGAGAGGGAGTGCCAGACTCTTACTGTATAAAAACCACCCTGCTCCTTCTTTTGGCCGTAGATATACCTTATTGTGTTTGGCTCCCAACCCCGGTTGAACATCAGCCCTGTGGGCATCAGTGGGGCAGATGCATCACCTAATTCACTATACGGGAGCCCTTTAAGATCTTAATTAATAAATAGGATAAGATTTTTGTTTAGGAAGTTAGAAACTACATATTGTGAGACATACTGAAAAATTGGTGGCCTGGAGATTCTCATGCAAGACGGTGCAGGTTATAAACCTGGCAGTTACCAATGTTAACTTTTTCCGAGTTACATATATCTATATTATACTTTCTATGATTATTTATACACCACTGACATACGGTGAAGGAAAACATCGTGAGGAAACCTGGACCTATAATTTCTAATTATAAGTTTAAAATCGCCAATTCTCCTTGATCAAGCGTATTTTATACTCAAACCTTCTCTGTGTGAGAAGAGGCCTTTGCTCAGCAGTGGGCACTTATAGGCAGATGAAGATCCACGACACATGACCAATTTCATTTTTTTAGAAGTTTAATATACCAAACCATCCCTCACTCCTCACCAGGTAAGCGCTACGTGCCCCGTGCAGTGCTGGTGGATTTGGAGCCAGGAACAATGGATGCCATCAGATCGTCCACCTACGGTCAGCTGTTCCGACCTGACAACTACGTCTTTGGACAAAGCGGAGCTGGTAAGTGGTGGGGAACAATCAAGAAAGTGTGGGAGAGCCACAAGCTTCGGCACAAATGTGTCGTCTCAAACGGAGTCATACCACACCTCACAGTAAACCGGCGTGAAACAACCACAGCGTTGTGTTTCGCCGTGTGAGTGAGGTAAACGGAGGCCTAATCCCCTTCCCCCATCGCTTCCAAATACTTTAATACCCGAAACCCTTATCTTTACAAGGTTGGCAACGCACTTGTAACTCCTTTGGTGTTGCGGGTGTCCTTGGGAAGCGCTGATTGCTTATCATCAGGCAACCCGTTTGCTCGTCCTGTGATAAAACAGTGATCTTTACATTAAACAGTTTCCTTGGTGTTTGGTGACTGGGCTTCTCCCTTGGGAAGCGCCGGACAAATGTAGTGTAGAGCGCTCTAAAGCTAGGACGATGTCAGTTGGTAGTTGGAAAAAAAGAGCTGGAGATCGCACGCAGTAGTGTGATATTGTTGAGGCCAACGTCCTAATGGATGATAGTCATGACGTCATGAGTGCGAGGGTCCAAAACCTCGGAAGTATTAATGTGACTTCCCGAGTTATACGTAATTTTTAGACACCACTACCAAACGGTGAAGGTAGTCAACGTGAAGAAAGCTAGACTTTTAATTTCTAATTATAAGTTTGAAATGGCCAATCCGCTTTAAGCAAGCGTGGTGGTTAATGCTCAAACCTACTCCGTTGCAAAGAGGCCTTTGCACAACATTGGGCAATGTGGAAGGCGAAAATAGGCTGGAGAGATGATGTCTCCTATAGATAAGAATCGGGTGGAGGATTTAAATGATGATAATGATGATGATGACGTATTTTATGAATATTTCTGATTTGCAGGCAATAACTGGGCCAAAGGGCATTACACAGAAGGCGCCGAGCTGGTCGAGTCTGTTATGGATGTCGTGAGGAAAGAGGCCGAGCCCTGTGACTGTCTCCAAGGTATGAGAAACATTTAGCTATTCATTTAAAAAAAGGTAACAGAAAATGGTTTTTAAAATTTTTGGCTTTTTGGCACTGCGTAATATATATCGCCTACCTGTCTACGGAGAGTGCTCCGAGGAATTGTTCGGTGTGATCCGCATCACCTTTAACCATAATAAACCCATGCGAAAACATTTTCATCCCCATAATAAGTGTGGGAGAGCCATGCTTCTGCACGAATCTGTCGGCTCGACCGAAGTGATACCACGGCCTCACAGAAAACCGGCGTGAAACAACCACAGCGTTGTGTTTCGCCTTGTGAGTGAGGTTACCGGAGGTCCAATCCTTCCCCTCCCCCAATCCCTCCTCAATCCCTAAATCTCCAAATCCCTAATCCCTAAAAGGACGGCAACGCACTCGTAACCCCTCCGTTGCGGGTGTCCATGGGCGGCGCTGATTGTTTACCATCAGGTAATCCGTCTGCCCGTTTGCCGACCTATTACTTAAAAAAAATAATAATAAAAGATGGTTGGCAGTCAACAACTGTGCGATTTTCGCGAAACTTTCTGCCCTGCCCTTTGTAACGATCTTTCGCTGGTGGTTATATCCGAACCGATACGACCTTCAGACCTTCAAAAAACATGCTTACTCCTTTTTAGAAGGCCGATAACGCGTCTGTGACTCTTTTGGAGTTGCAGTGTCAATAGTCGGCACGGATTTCTTACCAGCAGGAGATCCGTCTTCCCGTTTGCCTCCTGTTACATATAAAATCGATCAAAATGGCACTTCTGATGAGCAGACAACCGCTATATATTCAGCCGCCTTTGGAAGTCAGCCACAAGCCTCCCTGGTTCGATGTGTGATGATGATGAACTGGCATTTCTCCAGAACTGTCCAAAAAGAGTCTTTGAGCCAGCCGCGAAAGGGGACTTCTTTTTGTGTATTGTATTGTAAGGATATCGTCATCAATCACAATTTGATTTCTTCCAGGTTTCCAGCTAACCCATTCGTTGGGCGGTGGCACTGGATCAGGTCTGGGCACGCTGCTCCTCAGCAAGCTGCGTGAGGAATACCCTGACAGAATCGTAAACACTTTCAGCGTGATGCCATCACCGAAAGTAAGGATACTTGTTCATTTTTGCTTTGATTATTTTTTGTGTCGTTTACAAACATACAATTTCACATACACATCACACCCAGACTCGGAACAACAATTTGTAGATCACACAAAGTGTTGTCTTCTCAGCGAGCTTGTTCAATCTCCTTCAACACTCTTCCCTCCTCAAGTGTGCTACAAAGTCACACAGCTTGCTACCCGCAGTAGTTACAGCTTCGTGACAGCAAATGAGCAGTACAGACCTGATGGTAAGCAATCGGCGCCGTCCATGGACACTGGCAACTCCAGAAAAGTTACCATTACATTCCCTGCCTTTTAAGGTTTCGATAATGTAGAGATTGAGGAGGGATCGAGGGAAGGATTGGGCCTATCGGTAACCTGATAGCATTCTTTGTTTACCTGATGGTAAGCAATAACAGAGGATTTACGACTGTTTTGCCGGTCATATTTGATGATCAGGGTTTCAGAGATTTCCAGATTTAAAACGCTATGGTTGTTCCACGCAGTTTTTCTATAAGGCCGGGCCCATTCGTGACCACATTCAAAACCTTTAAGCTTAGCTGATGCTGATATGGAATTTCAGGTATCCGACACAGTGGTTGAGCCGTACAACGCCACATTGTCAGTTCACCAGCTGGTTGAGAACACAGATGAAACATTTTGCATCGACAATGAAGCTCTCTATGACATCTGCTTCCGAACGCTTAGACTAGCTTCCCCCACATATGGAGACTTAAACCATTTAGTATCGGTAAGTTGGTTACAATGTGTTAATTTTTCAATAGTCAGATAAATGTTATCTGAGGAATAAAATTGTTGCTGTCACTGTCTTATACAAACATTGTGACGCAACAGCATCATAATTGTTCCCCAGTAACTTTTATCTAACCCTATTGTGTGTCGTTGTGGCCCCTAGGCGCCCGCTTCTCATGCATGAGGTTTCGAAACCTGGCAAGTACCAATGTGACTTTTTCCGAGTTATATGTACTTTCTACGATTATTTAGACACCACTGACATACGGTGAAGGAAAACATCGTGAGGAAACCTCGACTTGTAATTTCTAATAATAAGTTTGGAATCGCCAATCCGGTTTGAGCAAGTATGGTGTATAATGCTCAAACATTCTCCGTGTGTGAAGAGGCCTTTGCTCAGCAGTATGCACTTATAGGATGATGGTGAAGATCTTGCCCTGGATGAGGCGCGAGGAATTGTCAGACTCTGTCTAATAACCACTCCGTTTTTTTTTGTCCTGCTGCTTTTGCCCGTAACCCCGTCTGGACATTGGCCAGGTTGTCTATTGACTTTTTGAGGCGCCCGTAACTCTAAGCGGCATATGCTCGGGTCTTAGTGTTTTTTATGAGATATGTCGGCAATAGAGCAGACACAACAGAAGTATTACCTGATGGTAAGCAATCGGCGCCACCCGTGGACACTTACAAAACCAGAGGAATTACGAGTCCTCTGCCAGCCTTTTGGGGTTTCGGAGGAATGGATGGAAGGGAAGAATTGGGCCTCTGATAACACACTTATACGGCGGAACAACGCTGTGGTTGTTTCAAGTTGGTTTTCTATGAGGCTTTTGTATAACTCCGGTCGAGCTGAACCATGGCTAATCGCCAATTAAGATCATCGCCGATAATTAAGTGCTAGACTTACTTAATTATTACTATTATTGTCTTTCCCAATCACGGGATCACAAGGTCCCGGTCATTTGGGAGGCGTACGAGGGGCCGGAGCCAACTGCATAGACGCCCTGATCTTTAATCTAAATGAAATAGGACACATTTTATTATTATACCAAGTACTAAAGATTTCTGGTCTATTCTCCTAGCTCACCATGTCAGGAGTGACAACATGTCTCCGGTTCCCTGGTCAGCTAAACGCTGACCTTCGGAAGTTGGCAGTCAACATGGTGCCCTTCCCGAGGCTACATTTCTTCATGCCGGGTAAGTCCTTCCATAAGGGTTTGTGATCAAGTTTTCTCTAATGGAATGTACCTACATTTTTTTTGTGAGTTGAAGATCGTCAAATGACTTCTCCCGCCCATTAGTGTCAGACTCTTACTGACTAAAAACCCCCCTGTTCCTTCTCCTGCTCTCGGCCGAGGTCGCGGTGCCTCATTGCGCTTGCCCCGCAACCCCGGCTGAACATCAGCCCTATAGGGCCTGTAGTGGTCTATTGGCTCTTTGAGGCGCGCGCGGAACCCTTCGCGCCGTACGCTCTGGTCTGGTTCTGGTCGGGCGGCGAGCTACCCTTACTCGCCGACCGCAGACCCGCGCTCTAGGTGGCCGGAGATCGTCCCTTGATCCCCGACGCCCGTAATGTCGCCTGTTGCGGCGGCTGGGGCGTGAGGAGGAGTATTGCGAATGTACCTAGCTGGTTCAGGGTTTCACAAGTTTTCTTTACGGAGAGAATGCTTTTTTTAGAGAGTGCAAAATTCCTCGAATGTCCTTTCTTGACGTGGGTGGAGCGAGATGGTGTTAGACTCTTAGGTACTTAGTTTTTACACACATCACACCCAGACCCGGAACAACAATTTGTAGATCACACAAAGAGTTGTTCCGTGCGGGGATCGAAACCGCGACACGTTGTTGGTCCACTTAAACTGGTGTGGTTCTTTCCTCAAAAGACCACTACAGAATGAACTTGCACGGTTCTCTCACATTATGTTATTTTCAAATTGTCTGGACTTGAAAAGAGACGGACCTCTGAGTTTGTTTCGGCATTGTTTCTCAGAGTAGTCAGATAGGAAATGCCGGCTTCATCTAGTTTTTCACATATAATTTGACGTGTAAACGTGCCGTTTTATGGCCTATTTGTAAAAATAAATTCATTGTTTCATTGTTGCACGGCAGCCAGTTGCCCAGTCACCGCGCCAATCGTGCAGTCAAAGTGGTTTATCCTTCCATATATGCAAGTGTTTCCCTCATTCCAGGTTTCGCCCCCTTAACAGCGCGCAACAGTCAAGGTTACCGTGCCCTCACAGTACCAGAGCTGACACAACAAATGTTCAGTCCAGTGAATATGATGGCTGCCTGCGACCCTCGACACGGGAGGTACCTCACTGTGGCCGCCATCTTTAGAGGACGGATGTCCATGAAGGAAGTTGACGAGCAGATGCTGACTGTCCAGGATAAGAACTCCAGGTGAGAAATGGCTAGAGAAAAATAGTCGAATGACTTCTCCCGTCCAGGGTAAGGCGAGAGAGAGTGTCAGACTCTTACTGACTAAAAACTTCCCCGTTCATTCTCCTGCTCTGGGCCGAGGTCGCCGTGCCTCATCGCGCTTACCCTGCAACCCCGGCTGACCATCAGCCCTATAGGGCCCCGTCTGTGGTTGTCTATTGGCTCTTTGAGGCGCGCGCGGCGGCTGGAGTGTTTTTTTTTTGTGAGAAGTCATCAAACCTTCTCACATAAAGAATCTGTATGTGAAACTGATTGAAAAAGAGTAACAATGGGAGTTTCTTGCTCGTTCTTCTCCATAGGAATCTACACTTTGGAACGAGCAAATAGCTTCACTAGAGGACCGACCGACAGACTGACACTATATCTTTAAGCTTTGTTTGACGTTCAAAAGTGCCTGTAGGGGTCTAATAGAAATAAATGATTTTGAATATTGTCTTTTGACCTGATGGTAAGTCATCAGCGCGGCCCATGGATACCTGCAACACCAAAGGAGTCACAGGCACGTTGCCGGCCTTTTAAGAAGGAGTACGCTCGTTTCTTGAAGGTTTATTGCCATAAAATGAGCTGTCTAAATACCTGATGGTAGTCAGTTGGCGGCGCTCATGGACACTTGCAAGAGAAGATAAGTTAAGATTGCGTTGAAGGGCTTTTTGAGGGTTAGAATTTGAGGATTTTGTGGACATGGGGATGCGGGAATCGAAGGTTAATGCCTACGGAGTGGATGAGAAGTATATTTTTGTTTGATCTCTATCTAGGTGAAAGCTGAGACATTTGAATGTTATGTTTTAATGTCGTGGTGGCCCGGAGGTTAAGCAGCCCGCTTCTCATGCATGAGGGTGTGGATTCGAAACCTGGCAAGTACCAATGTGACTTTTTCCGAGTTACATGTACTTTCTATGATTATCTAGACACCACTGACATACTGTGAAGGTAAACATCGTGAGGAAACCTGGACTTGTAATTTCTAATTATAAGTTTGAAATCGCTAACCCGCATTGAGCAAGCGTGGTGGTTAATGCTCTAACCTTCTCCGTATGAGAAGAGGCCTTTGCTCAGCAGTGGGCACTTATAGGCTGATGATGATGATGACGATGTTTTTATGTGGTAGGATAGGATTATCTTATGGTAAGCAATCAACGCTGCTTCAACAACTATCTTCAGAAGTTGCGAGTGCGTTGCCGGTTTTTTGGATATTTAGGGATTTGGATATGGGAAAAAGGATTGGGTCTCCGGTAACCTCACTCACACGGCGAAACACAACGCTGTGGTTGTTTCTTTTTTTTATGTAATAAGGCGTCAAACGAGCAGACGGATTACAAGCAAGACTGACCTCTGAGTTTGTTTCGGCATTTCTTCTTAGAGTAGTCAGATAGGAAATGCCGGCTTCATCTAGTTTTTTGTACATATAATTTGACGTGTAAAAGTGCCGTTTTATGCAAAAATAAATGCATTGTTTCATTGTTTCCTTGACTGATGGTAAGCAATTTCAACAACGATCTTTTAGGGATTAGGGTTTTGGAGATTTAGGGATTGGGGAGGTATCGGTGGACGGGAAGGATTGGGCCTCCGGTAACCTCACTCACACGGCGAAACACAACGCTGTGGTTGTTCCTTTTTTAACCGACTTCAAAAAAAGGAGGAGGTTCTCAATTCGATTGTATTTTATTTTTTATTTTTTATGTGATAGGTTGGTAAACGAGCTGACGGATTACCTGATGGTAAGCAATCAGCGCCGCCCATTACGAGTGCATTGCCGATCTTTTAGGGATTAGGGTTTTGGAGATTTAGGAAAAGGATTAGGCCTCCGGTAACCTCACTCACACGGCGAAACACAACGCTGTGGTTGTTTCACACCGGTTTCCAGTGAGCAGATCCATTCGTGCCGAAGCATGGCTCTCCAACACAAGAATCTGTTTCTCTTTCTTTCAGTTACTTCGTGGAGTGGATCCCGAATAATGTGAAGGTGGCCGTCTGCGATGTCCCCCCTCGGGGATTAAAGATGGCGGCGACCTTCGTTGGCAACACCACAGCTATACAGGAAATATTCAAACGAATATCCGAACAGTTTACTGTTATGTTCAGACGTAAGGTAATGCTATCAGGAAAAGAGTAACCATGGAGTTTGTTGCTCGTTCTTCTCCATAGGAATCTACACTTTGGAACGAGCAAATAGCTTCACTAGAGGACTTATGCCTACTGCAGCGTGAGGAGGATAGCTCTTTCACACGCTCCGTCCCCTCCTTCACGAGAATCAATGCTTATAAAGAGGAGACGGCTTCCTAGTTCCTCTCGCTCCGCACCATGTCCTCGACTATAAGGCTGGACGCGAAAGGTTGCCTTCAAACCCACGAGGTTGGACCTCTATTATGGATTTATTTAGACCTATCTCTGACAAATCAAGTGTTAGCTCGTCCGGGTATGCCACACCCGCTAGAAGAGTTGCGGTGGTAAATGTATTCTGCATCGCTATCACTTCATTTTTCAATATATAAAAGTGTTTTTTTTATATTATGTTCGAATACGCTGTCAATCCCTTATGGCGCGGGTTCGAAACCCGGCAAGTACCAATGTGACTTTTTCCGAGTTATATGTACTTTCTATGATTATTTAGACACCACTGACATACGGTGAAGGTAAACATCGTGAGGAAACCTGGACTTGTAATTTCTCAAAGTTTGAAATCGTCAATCCGGTTTGAGCAAGCGTGGTTTAAGCTCAAACCTTCTCCGTATGAGAAGAGGCCATTGCTCAGCAGTGGGCAGTTATAGGCTGATGATGGATTTCCTCTCTTCCAGGCGTTCCTCCACTGGTATACGGGAGAGGGAATGGATGAACTGGAGTTCACGGAAGCTGAAAGTAACATGAATGACCTGGTCTCCGAGTATCAGCAGTATGAGGTACCGTACATTGAACTTTGTACTCTATTTCGTAAGGAATATGGTTGATTTTTGTCTGGCTATATTTTATAATTTAATTAAATTTTTGTTCCGTATTTTGCAATTTTGTACCTTATTTCGTATGGAATATGGTCGGTTTTTGTCTGACTGTTTGAAACGAGTTTAAACGAGGATTTTTGACTGGTATTCTTGATTTAAATTAAAAGAATTTAAAAATTATAAAATTTGGTCCGAATTTTGGGGACATTGAATTTTGTACTCTATTTTGTGAGGTATATGGTTGATTTTTGTCTGGCTGTTTGAGTTCAACGAGTTTTTAAGAATGGCCTCTTTATTTATAAGCATTTAATAAATTATAAATTTTGCTTCGAATTTCCCACGAACATTGAATTTTGTACTCTATTCTGTAAGCAATATGGTTGATTTTAGTCTGGCTGCTGTTTGCAGTAAACGAGGCTTTGAATTGAGACTTATGTAGTTTATTTATAAGAATTAAAAAATATATAACTTTTGCTAAGAACTTCGGAAACATTCAATTTTGTACTCTAATTTGTATAGTATAAAGTGGATTTTTGTATGAGAGGAAAAATATATTGTTTATAATGCAATTATGTCTTTAAAACATACAGACATGCATTCCAATTATAACTTAAATGTTAAAAAAAGTCTAAAGATACCAAAAAAATTTAACATTCATCCAACTCGTCATTCAAAATTGAACTTTAGCTAAATTAAAATAAGGTTGAATTTTATAAATTTTCACAGGAGGTCGGGGTGGATGATGCAGAATTTGATGAACAAGAAGAAATGGCGCCCGAAGAAGAATATCCTGAGGAATAAATCACTAGTTATAGAAATATCAACCTTAATCTAAGGTCACAAGATCAATTTTACAATAGCAATTATGTCGTGTTAAGTTTTCTATTTTTTAATTACGTAGATAAATATTTATTGATATAGAAATAAGTACTCTGTTTCCTAAGCATTAAATTTGAATATTCTTTACCACTAATCCTAATACAACCCTTTTAATTGATAGTTATTTAAAAGTCAACTCTAAATCTTAAGAACTAAGGTAGACTTTACTAAGTAGACTGTTTTACTATTTATTATTAAGGTATATTATTAAAACACAATAAAAAAAATCACACTTTGATTCATTGCATTGATTTCTAGTAATATTTCATATTAGATATTCTCGTGCGGTTTCACCCGCTGCTCGGCTCCATTTGATCGTAGCGTGATGTTTTATAGCCTATAGCATTCAGGAACATTGTAGCTATCTATCAGTGAAAGAATTTTGGCTATCCGACCAGCGGTTCCAAAGAAAACTCACAGAAAACCGGCGTGAAACAACCACAGCGTTGTGTTTCGCCGTGTGAGTGAGGTTACCGGAGGCCCAATCCTTCCCCTCCCCCAATCCCTCCTCAATACCTAAATCTCCAAATCCCTAATCCCTAAAAGGTCGGCAATACACTCGTAACTCCTCCGTTGCGGGTGTCCATGGGCGGCGCTGATTGCTAACCATCAGGTAATCCGTCTGCTCGTTTGCCGACCTATTACATAAAAAAAAAATCACACAAAGAGTTGTTCCGTGCGGGAATCGATAACGCGACACGATACGCCGCAGCCGGTTGGCCTAGCCACCGCGCCAACAATGCAGTTGACTGTATCACTTTCATAGCAATGATATCATGTAGTATAGAAAAATAAAACTCAAATAAAATATCATAAAACATCTTTTTTATTTAACATAAATCTAATTTTATTAACAGGTTTCTGTGGTACATTTCTGATGATTTCTTTACCAAAATTATTATAATTTAAACTGTCATTAATATTTGTTACAACCTCCGTTTCCACGGACGTACAATCTACAACTTCACACGTATTCTCCTTAACCGATAACAGTTTATCAGACACCGTGGCTGGATTCTCAGACTCTGCGTTTACAACTCCAGTATCCTGAGTGACGGATACCAATTTTCTATCAAACATTTTAGATTTTTTTAACTTACAATGTTTTACCATTTTGTAATCCGTAACTTTTCTCTTCGAACTATTATTTTGATCACAAATCACATTCAGATCACCCATAAAAACTTTATCCTTGTGAACAATATCTTGCGTTTCTTTTTCGCTTGCTTCAGGCATAATTTTCGCTTCTGTAGTCACAGTTGCGGTAGTCTTATCCAAATTTCTCAACCTGCCTAGAACATTTTGTTTGCGGAGTAATAACTTAAGTCTTGTTTCCTCCAACGTTTCAAATTCCGGTGCGTAACTAATATGCAAATTCCCTCCGTAGTAATTCTTCGTATCTAACTTCTTTTTCGCAATTCTTGCGGACTGGATATCATCAAAATTAGCATGGTAAGTTTCTGTGAATTGTTCTGCGGGGTATTTCGTTAAGTTGAATTGTAGTCTGCCGAATCTGGAGAATAGGGCTTTGGTTTCTTGCCGTAGGTTGAGGGCTGGTACTCCGAAGACTAGGAGATGTTTCGATTCATTGTTAATTGAGTAGGCCTGTGGAAAAAAACGGTTTGATTTATATAACTGAAAGGTGAAGGTCAAGTATTGGAGCTCTGGCCGGGAGTAGAATGAAAGAGGTTTATAGTCAGTATAATTTTTGTAAGCCTACTGAGGCTAGAAATGCTAAATGACTAATTTTTAATTTATCTTTTGTATTACCATGTCTCTAGAGATATTCTTTTTTATTTTTACTTTTTGTGTTGTTTCGACGTTAAAAACTTATTATATTTGAGTTTCATACATTACAGAATACCCAGGCTAAGTTTCAAAGATGATCAAATACAAATAAATTGATAAAATGTAATAAAAGGTGAAGGAAAACATCGTGATGAAACCTGGACTTGTAATTTCGGTATTATAAGTTGTAAATCGCCATACCGCCTTGAGCAAGCGTGGTGATTAATGAGTATCCGTGTGAGAAGAAGCCTTTGCTCAGCAATAGTACAGTTCCAGGCTGATGATAATGATTAAAATAATAAAAATTGTAAACTAACTTTAACCGCAGTTAATTTTCGTCCCTGCCGATAAGGTAAACGAGTTGCACATAAAGTCTGTTGTTCATGATGAGGTGGAAGTTCAACCTCCTTGCTATCTTCTGACATTATTACTCGCTATTAAATAATAATTAATAAAATAATTTCTCGTTTCACAAACCAATAACAATAACACAGTTTGACAGTAATATTTAAGTGACACAATTGACAAGTCTAGTGTTGTTTGTTGAGGTTATGTCAACTGCACAATTTTAATATGGCAATGTTATTGAATTTTAGTCGAATTGTAATCGATTATAGGTACTTAGAATCAATTGAACATAAATGTTTTACACGACACGCTAATTTATTTCCACGTTAACTCTTTAAGTAACTTTTTATATCACTAGTGCACCAAAATGGATAACATACTCGCGATTTAGGTATCGATCTTTTGCTTATGACACATTGATCAAAACCTACATTGATTCGAATGTTTCATTCAATTCAAATCTCACACATGCTTCTCCAATCAACAGAAATTAACCTATTATACAGTAATTAATAATCTGATTTATAAAAGTTCCATTGCGGTTTATAATTGTATGCTCGCGAATCAGCTTGGATAGCGAGTTGCCCTTCCTCGCCATCCGCAGACTAATGGCTTAAGGTGGATTATCACTTGATCCCCGACGCCCGCAGCGACGTGTGGAGGATACTTCCCTCACGCGCTCCGCCTTCTTCTTTGTGAGCATCACTGCTTCGCATAAAGAGGAGAAAACTTCTCAGTTCCTCTCACTCCGCACCATGGCCACCACTATGGTCTAACGCGAGGGAGACCCCGATCACTTCCCTGAGGACACGGCGGTGCTCAGCCCAAGCAGGGTACATCGCCACCGCAAGCTCCACCGTGTCTTCTGGATCGTCTACAGCTACACAATGACGACATTCGGGCGTTTCTTACCACCGGATCCGAAACAAGAAGCGAGTCTCTCAAGCTACGCCTCAAAGAGGAGTCTTACCGCTTCTATAACAGCGCACCCGATAGAACAATAGGACGATTTCCAACTAGTCAAAATCAATACTTTTTTTCAAAATACCGAAGGTATGTCTGAAATAGCACAATATTACGACATATTTTCTTTTCTGGTAAACTTATTGAACACGGCTTTACGTAACAAATAATTGGTCAATTTACAAATAACGTTGTACATATTTATTTAAATTGGGAGTCTAAACTTGTAATGTGAAGTATGTCTAATCGATTTTGGACTAGTATAAATAGTACAATTTGTGATATTACTGTGCAGCAAGGGAGCTCTGAGTAGACAGTAAACATGAAGTATTTAATGGTGACTTTATTCGCGTTGCTGGCCCTCGTGGCTTACTCTTCAGCTGGTGAGTATATTATATTTACTGAATATTATTACCTACATGAGAGACAGCCTTTTACTTTAACTTTAGAAGGTAGGGCAGTCGTAGATGCTGAAATACTAATGTTTTGGTTGATCTACCATTATAATTTGCGTGATCAAAAAATGGCAAGTCTCTGCTATCCAGTGATGGAAGGTAGTGATGCTCGTAAAGAAGAAGAGCTGAGTAGAGATAGAGAAGAGGCTATAGTGTAGGTGGCGAATTAGGACTCACTTGATATAATTTACAGTTAACTGTTTAAGGAACAACTTTGCACACAGATTAATCAACAAATTAACTTAAAATATAAATTGTACATGTGAGCGTGAGCCTTGCCGTTTCGAATGTCTGGCGGCAATTCGTCAACTCTGTAGCGCGCTCTCGCGGACAAAGTCGGAAGCCCGCCTTTTGGGTTGCCAGCGCATACCGCTACGCTATAAGACACTCAGCAGCGTATAGGAAACTCAGTCGGATATTCGCATCAAAGATACCTCAAAGCCTGAAGACAAAATTCTTCAATGAGTGCGTCCTTACCAGTGATGACATACGGAGCCGAGACGTGGACACTTACAGTGCGACTGATCCACCAATTTAAAGTCGCGCAGCGAGGGTTATGCTTGGAGTCTTTCTGAAGCATCGTATTCGAAATGAGGTGATCCGACAGAGAACTAAAGTTATCGACATAACCCAAAGGATTTTTTTTTTTTTTTTTTAATGTTATAAGTCGGCAAACGAGCAGACGGATTACCTGATGGTAAGCAATCAACGCCGCCCATGGACACCCGCAACGGAGGAGTTACGAGTGCGTTGCCGACCTTTTAGGGATTAGGGATTTGGAGATTTAGGGATTGGGGAAGGGTCCGGGAAGGGGAAGGATTGGGCCTCCGGTAACCTCACTCACACGGCGAAACACAACGCTGTGGTTATTTCACGCCGGTTTTCTGTGAGGCCGTGGTATCACTCCGGTCGAGCCGACCCATTCGTGCTGAAGCATGGCTCTCCCACACTTAAAATTAATATAGGATAGGATAGGATAGGATTAGCAAACTGAAGTGGCAGTGGGCAGGTCACATCTGTCGAAGAACTGATGACCGCTGGGGTAAACGTGTTCTAGAGTGGAGACCACGTCTAGGCAAACGTAGTGTAAACGTACGTAGCTAGGTGGACTGACGACATCCGCAGTGTGGCTGGCAGTGGTTGGATGAGAAGAGCTGAACATCGAGCTCAATGGCGTGCAATTGGGGAGGCCTATGTCCAGCAGTGGACGACAAAAGGCTGATGATGATAATGATGATGATCGTCAGCGATCGCGCCGTTAGTAGGGGTCTGCCGGTGGCAAGCAAGGGTAGCTCATCGCCTGACCGTACTGCGCGAGTATCAGAGCGAACCACATTGGGCCCTATAGAGCTGATGTTCAGCCGGTGTCGAAGGTCAAGCGCAATAATAATGTACCGCAACCTTGACAGCAGGAGCTCTTGGAGCAGGAGAAGGAATCGGGGTGTCTACATAGTCAGTCGAAAACCACCTGGCTTAAAAGATTCTGACCCCACCCTGGGCGAGAGAAAAAAAACAATACTAATACGCTAGCTTTAATGGTCCTACATCTGAATCTTTTGATTATATGAACGTTCTTGATAGATTATTAGCTGTAAACTTTCCGTGTATGTAAAATTTTTGGTAACATTTGAACGTTTGGCAGTGGTAACTGTGAAAGTCCAACAAGTAAAAAAGTGACTTTTCAGAGACCTGTATGTGCTTGAGCTAGCTAAATTAAAAATCGAATCATTTATTTCAAATAAATCACGAAAGGCACTTATAAACTTCAAACCAAATAATTAATTAATAATTTCAAATTAGTGTGTTAGTCTATCGGTCTGTCTTAAGCTATTTGCTCGTTCCATCGTAAAGTGTAGATTCCTATGGAGAAAAACGAGCGAGAAACTCCATGGCTACTCTTTTTCAATCAGTTTTACAATTATTTCTTTGTTATCTACATTATGTAGTCGGTTCCATCATATGAAAACCTTTTCCATGTGAGAGAGCTGATGAAATTTCTTAATCGCGCCATCTATTGCTTGTAACTTCAATTAGTATGTTTTGTATGTGGCACTAGATGTCGCTACACGTTTGAAGTGTATGTTTATGTTGTACTTTGAAGATTTTAAAGAGCATTGTTATGAATCTTGCTGTATTTTTATTTTGATTTTGTATTTCAGGCGTGGATTTAGTGAAGAACGCCCTTTGTGATACGGATGAGCATTGCAAGCCTGGTTGTAATTGTCAGCAAGCTTTGGATTCATTAATCAAAGTCTGTGTGTGTGGCGGGTATGTATTCTCTCTATTTGATTAGGGACATTACATTGTTAAAGTCAACCTAACCAACGGAACAGTGTCTTTTAACACAGAGTGGTTAAAATATTATTAAGTTTTTTGGGAAATACACAATAGTGTTAGCACTTCAGCTCTTGCCGTGGAGTCGTAAGTGGAGATTAATGGAATATACACATGACAGAGACTGGTTATATCACTTTCTGATAGACCCAAATCTTTTAAAGTTTTATCTTCAACCTACCTTTACTTTTTACGGGATTTAATGCGCACGTACCTACCTTTTTTTATTTGTTTTTTGGTTGACGTTTTGAAAAAGGTTCGTGTATTAAATCCTGTATAACATTTAAGTATTAATATGCAACGCTAAGAATTAAAGTATAGCCACCTTTTTTATGTCATCGGTCGGCAAAGGAGTAGATTACCTGATGGTAAGCTTCGGGGCCGCCCATGGATACTCGTAAGATCAGAAGAGTTTCGACTGCGTTGCCCGCCTTTTGGGATTAGGATTCTGCAGATTTAGGGATTAGGTATGAATGGAAGGATTAGGTCTCCAGTAACCACACTCATACGGTGAAACACAACGCTGTTGTTGTTATTTCACGCCGGTTTTCTGTAAGGCCATGGTATCGCTCCATTCGTGCATGGCTCTCCCACACTTTAAAATAACTACTTTTAAGTCTAACCTAGAAGTATAAAAATTTTGAACTAACACCAAGTTTGGTTTTTTCAGACATATTGAGTGCAGAAGACGTCAATATCTTTAGAAGGAGATAGAAGATACAGTGGCTCCTGTTGAAGAATAATCATAAAGTTTATAGGGCAAATCGAAACGCAAAACTATTTTAAAATTACCTGTTAAATGGTTGAGTGATTAAAGATATTTTTACATACACATTTATATTTTCTTAACTGAGTGTATATATATTAATATTCGTCACTCACTCTTCTTAAACTTTGTTCTCAAAGTTAAGCCTATTTTTATGGGATGATAAACGAACATATTGATCACCTGGTAAGCAATCGGTGCTCGCGAGGATAAGGGGGTTTTTGAATAGGGCACGGAGAAGTATTTACATTGGTAATTGGGGTCTAGCTACAAAAATATTACGGAAAAATAAAGTTTAGAGGGGTAGCCTTCTCCATAGCTCGCTACGTTTATAGAATAGGCTATGAATATTTCTGAAGGATCGAATTCTAAACGAGGCGATCCGACAGAAAACTAATGTTTTCGACATAGCGCAAAGAATAAACATATATATGTCGAAAAACGGTTTACCACTGGAGTAATCGTATGATAGAGCAGAGACCACGTCTAGGCAAACGTAGTGTAGGGCACCCTTCAGCTAGATGGACTAACGACCTCCGTAAAGTGGCTAGCAGTAGTTGGATGAGAAGAGCTAAACTTCGAGCTCAGTGGCGTGCTGTTGGAGAGGCTGTGTTTGTGTCAATGTCCACCATTGGGTTCAGAAGTGGGCTGATAGTGATGATGATGAAAACTAAAGAAGTCTTGATCTTTGTAGCTTCTGGCTGCTTTGGAACGAAGAACTTATCACTTCAATTGTGTAGCGTTTTTTTGATTGGCGATAATAATGATCTCTGACTAAACCATAAAATAGACGAATCGTGTGAGAATGTGTTTGTATGACAATACTACCCTGCTGCGGAGTCGGCCACGACGGTCATCAGCGCAAATAATGTCAATAGTACCACATCATTTTTTTTTCATTTAACTGGTCGGCTAACGAGCAGACGGATTACCTGCCTGACGGTAAGCAATAAACACTAAAGCAAATTTTTAGACGACTGCCCAAAAAAGAGTATTATGTTTTTAAGGTTAATTTATATATTTACAGCATATAATTACGCGAAAATAATTATTTAATTACCTTGGTTAGCTTGACGTTTCAACCTTGTTGCACAGGTCGTGGTCGCTAATCATGTATGTATGTATGCCTGGGCAGAATTAGACATATAGAATATAGTTGGAATCCTTAGAAAAATCAATGGGGCCACCCCATTGATTTATTATGGAGCTTAAATAATTATTAAGAAAATTAAAAAAAGTCCACGTCCTAGAGACACGAATGACTGTCTACGGATTGGGTCCCGCAAACAAATAAAACAGAAGATGTTATTTGAGGTAATGGAAAAACTAAAAAGTTTCCACTTCCCTCAGTGAATTTAATACAGGAGACAGCATAACGTCCGACCTTGTGCCTACCTTGAAGACACAAAACATTGCAAATCTTAGAGAAGTCCAGTCACCTAACTCCACGGAAAATTTGTTATAGGAAAAACGCCTAATAGTAAGGTAATTTGTTCTACATTCTACAAGTGTGGGAGAGTCATGCTTCGGCACGAATAGGTCGGCTCAACCGGAATGATACCACGGCGTCACAGAAAACCGGCGTGAAATAACCATAGCGTTGTGTTTCGCCGTGTGAGTGAGGTTACCGGAGGCCCAATACTTCCCCTCCCCTGATCCCTCCCCAATCTCTAAATATCCAAATTTGGTTTGGTTTTTAATAGAAAGAGTGATTGAAGAGGAAGGTTTATATGTATAATGACATCGACAATGTTTATATGTACAATGAAACAAAATTATATCAAGACCAATATTTATTAAAAAATATCGAAACAATTGGTGGTTTTGGCTGAAGGAGACTTCATAATCATTCTATAACAGCAGCTACTTTATCTTCCATCTCTTTCTAAAGATATTCACTTCTTCTGCATACTATTATACTGAAAAATCAAGACATCATGTTACTTTCAAAATTCTCACTTAAAAGCGCCTAGGGGTAGAAAAGTTAGACGCGACTAAAACAATCAAGTAACAGAACGTACGATCTCGTATTTTACAGTCACTGTAATAGTCCAGAGGACTATGGATCTCCTCTACATAATAGTGTTTGCCAAAATCTCCACACAAGTCAAGTGGATTGGAGATAGCAGCTTAAAAGATTCAGGTCTATCAAAGATAGGTTATTAGATGACTCGACGAAAGAAAGTGTTACAAATAAACAAGAATGAAACGGAATATTAATTAACGCTATGAATGTCTCTGAAAAACGAATAGACAAGGATGCATTTTTTTTATGGGACAAGCCCTCTGCAGCCTTCCAAAACCGCTGCAACTCCTGTGCACCAGGATCTACAGTAGATACAACCATGAAAACACCGGAACACTGAAGTCCGGCGCGTCCCAGGGACATGAATGACTGTCTTGGATCCCGCAACGAAATAAATCAGAAGATATACGAAAGAGTTTCCAAGGATGGTATACATACTCGCCGCATACACAGACTTTGATTAAGGAATCCAAAGCGTGCTGACAAGTACAACCAGGCTTGCAATGGTCATCCGTATCACACAGAGCATTCTTCACTAAATCCACGCCTGAAATACAAAATTAAAGTAATAAAAATACAGCAATCACAACAATTCACTTTCTAAATATAGCGACATCTACCGCCAGCCACAGAAACTAGTATTTAAAGTAAGTGGCAATAGATGGCGCAATTAAACAGTTTGACAAAATTCAAAAATTTCCAAGAAATTACGGTGTCATGTGCTTTAAGTTTTATTAGAAATTCGTAATGTTTATCTTTTGAATGCTAGATTATACTTTTTCAGGTAAAGTCAATCAGTCACCTTAAATAGTCACTAGATTCAAAGGTTTTTTGTTTGACGGCTGAGATATGCTTATTGCCTTGTGCTTTGTTGCTCGATTTGCGGGTAATAAGAACTCATGTTTTCTATTTTTATCTTAAACCACGCAAATAAAATTTAGCCAGAAGCCACGTTTAAACACATGTCTTCCCCAGTGACTTCCAGATAATTCGGTTGGAAACTACTTGCATCCTACAGCTTCCAACGACCTGTATCAGTTATCAGGCTTTCTGTCATATGCACAATGAGGCATATTTTAAATTTGCCACCAAATGTAGTAAAATGTAACAGGCCAAAATAGTAAATGATCACCAAGGTCAAGACCGCATTTTAACGTAAAATAATAGTCAAAGTTTTCACATCTTACTTTTTTATGGAATATGAGGCAAACGGCGGTCCAGAAGAAGGATCTTGTACTGGGGCGCATGAAGCGAAGGTGAAAGTAATATTCTGTATGGGGCGAAAGTTGCCAAATCTTAGAAAGTAGCAGGCGATGTCCCGGGGTGAACCACTGCCTAAATCAATTGAGCACACCTAGCTTCTTCGAAGCTAACTCTAGCTAGATGACCGCGAAACTAGACTTTGTTCAAAAAGATAAATAAGGATATGGACCTCTGAAACCGAGGAGATACGACCAACGTTAAATTTTAGCGGAGAACATGCAAACTTGTGATTTTGTGAGGTAAATTTGAACTACTTCAATCTGAGATTTTCTCTAAAAAGGTCTCGATTTCTGGCCCAAGTCTGTCGGCTCTAGGTGACTTTTTCCCGAGAAATGTTAGCACAGTCGGCGTAAAAGGCATCACCCGTGCTGTAATTCGCATAGAATAGCAATGAATACTACTGATTTGCAACATATTGATATTCTCCACAGAACAGGATCGTCGATAGTATGCAGCCTTGAGTGACACCAGCGTTTACAGACAGGTAGACAAAGCTTTCACCGTTGACTATGACCTTTGTGCTTCTATTTGCAAGGGAACTGGAAACCAATTTCTACAATATATCATAATATGATATTGGCATATTATACCAATAGACCACCACAGACGGGGCCGTATAGGACTGATGTTCAGCCGGGGTTGCGGGGTAAGCGTAATGGCCTAGAGCACGAGAAGGAACGGAGTGAGGTTTTTAGACAGTAAGAGTCTGACACTCCCCACCCCGTTCTAGGCGGGAGCAGTCATTTGATCTGATGATTTTCCTCTCACAAAGAAAGGTACAAATAATAAATAAGCTTACATATTATGACAGGCTAAGACTTGGTAATTATTTAGTACTTTTCACGTTCAAATAGGTACAATTTGAAGAGCAAGAATTAGGGGTATCGCTGGTGGTCACTGTATTTAACCCTATAATGTTAGATCAACCAAAACATAGGTATTTCCCAAAAATCAACATCCCACGACTGCCTATAACCTTCTAAAGTTATAAAGCTGTCTCTCATGTAGGTAATAATATTCAGTAAATATAATATACTCACCACCACCAGCTGAAGAGTAAGCCACGAAGGCCAGCAACGCGAATAAAGTTACCATTAAATACTTCATGTTAACTTTCTGCTCAGAGCTCCCTTGCTGCACAGTAATATCACAAATTGTGCTATTTATACTAGTCCAAAATCGATTAGACATACTTCACATTACAAGTTTACACTCCCAATTTAAATAAATAATAATATATTGTTGTAGTAATAATCGGATTCAATAAAAACATAATGATACAATTTGGTGCGGCAATAGAGAATATAAGTATATAGTTTGCATACTTTCATCGTTGGAAATATGGCGGATGTACAAGCGTTACTAAAATACTAGTTAGACAATACTTCACGCCGGAACCGCTGCTTAAACTTTATCAGGCGCAAGTTCGATCGGTTAGTCAAAGTCAAAGTCAAAGTCAAAGTCAAAGTCAAAATTATTTATTTCAATTAGACCCATACAGGCACTTTTGAACGTCAACACAACTTTAAAGATACAAAGTGTCAGTCTGTCGGTCAGTCCTCTTAGTGAAGCTATTCGCTCGTTCCAAAGTGTAGATTCCGATGGAGAAGAACGAGCAAGAAACTCCATGGTTACTCTTTTAAAATCAGTGTCACATAAACATTCTTTGATACATTATTTAGTTAGTTTGAATATGTGAGAACAGTGTAACGCGTGTATACAGAGAAACAAAAAGAAAATAACCTTAAGGACAATAGACAGTCCGGAGCTGACCAGTCCCAATTGACGGCGCCCGTTCACGAGCATGACACGTACACCAGCATCGCCCAACTCAACCATAATATAGGGAATCGAGCGATCCAGTGACCGTGCCACCGCCAATGTGACCTTTGAGTGAGCATGACAACTCCAAGCTGACATATGGACCGACATTCTGCTAGTCTAACTAATTTTAGTAGGTTATGGAGTACTGCTCTCATCTTTGGGACGGATCTGCACGATACCAACTTGATGCGCTTGAGTCTATTGAGAGGCGAGCCAAGAGGATCATTGGCGATGATGCATTTGTCGAGTCGAGACTTCAAAGTCTTGAGCATCGACGCCGAGTTGCTAGCCTGTCGGTTTTCTACCGGTTGCATTTCGGGGAGCGTGCGACGGAATTACATAATTTAATTCCACCTAGCCCGTGCCATCATCGGACCACCAGACGTACGGCATTGCGCCACCGGTACATGGTTGATGTCCCACATATACGTACAAAACGTTTTGGGAGCACATTTATTATGCGTACAGCCAAGAAGTGGAATTCCTTGTCGGAGTCGGTGTTTCCTGATAGTTACAATCCGGGTATCTTTAAGTCAAGAGTGAATAGGTTACTTCTAGGTAAGCACGCTCCATCGTCGACCGCATCGTCGCTTTCCATCAGGTGAGATAGCGGTCAAGCGCGAGCTTATAATCAATAAAAAAAAAACTTCGGCTTCGCCCTAAAACAGGAGAAGGAACATAGGTAGTGGTTTATACATAGGTAGTAAGAGTCTGACTATAAGTCCACCCAGGAACGGAGAAGTAATTTCATGATTTAACCACGTCAAAAAAACCCCTATTATACTCATCACATGACTGGTGGAAAGTAGACGTTATCTATTACATAATATTATAATTGAGCGCTTGACGATTAGTCAACTACTTCTTATATTTCGTTTTCTTAGGATTTTTGGGATTTTCTTAGGACTTGAAAAGAGACTGACCTCTGAGTTTGTTTCGGCATTTCTTCTCAGAGTAGTCAGATAGGAAATTTCTAAAATTCTAGAAATAAAAACGCATGATCAAAATATATAGTACTTTTACTTCTGCTTAAATTAAAAATAATAATTATAAAAGAAAAGTTACATCATATAGTAACTTAATATTCAACCTCAAAATTTATAAATTAAAATGTTACAATTATTTAAAAAAAACGACTGACAATCGACTAAAATTGCGACGTGCTACACGCACTAATCTTTACAGTTTATTAACGACAGCACCAGTAAGATAGTTACTACATAAAAAATGGCAAATTTGACGCCACATTCTCACTACATTACAAACCAAAATGATCGGTGACAAAATATTGTGACTCCGAAAGTCTTACAGAACTATTAAAAGTATTGGGTACGTCTCATTCTTTATAAAATCCAAAATGTGAGACAGGAACGCTTTAAAAATACCGCATATATATTTTTATGTGATAGGACTCATAGGACTGCAAACGAACAGACGGATTACCTGATGGAAAGCAATTAGCGCCACCCATTGACACCCGCAACAATATAGGAGTTACCAGTGCGTTGTCGACCTTCTGGGTATTAGGGATTGAGGAAGGATTGGGGGAGGGGAAGGACTGGGTCTGAATCTCAATCACACGGCGGAACACAACGATGTGGTTGTTTCACGCCGGTTTTCTGTGAGGCTGTGGTATCAATCCAGTCCAGCCGATTCATTCGTGCCGAAGCATAATTCTTCCACACTCTATACAAACGAGCAGACTGATTACCTGACTGTAAGCGATCGGCGTCGCACTTATAAAATACTAGAACTACAACGTGCGTGCGACCTTTTGGAGGTTAGAGATTTAATTGGTTCTCATTCCAAAGGGTTTAAATCTAAAATCTGCAAAACATGTTTGATCTCTTCAAGGACAGTTTGACGCCAGCTAGCGAGGGTATCGTCTTTCACCACATCATGTAGCTCAGGACAGTCTTTTTCGTTATAGGAGCATTTTTCTCTAAAATGCAGGAGTCTTCCAGGGCCTGCAGCATCCACGTACTTCACAGAACATGGTTCATGGCACACCAGGGGCTGATGGTTGTGCATTGCAATTATTGATGATGTATTCACGAAGGATTTTACCATTGATCCTGTGTAGAAAGATATATGTTAGAAGCTACTCAATGATTGGAAATCTGTGTTTCTTTTAAGTCATATCGGTAATAATAGACTAGAAAAACGAGAAAACAATAGGAGGACTAAACTTTATAAAAGGTCTGATGGTAAGAGTTCGCCAGAATCGATGCTCATCTGCAGTGTGTTGTCGACTATGGCATAGTATATACAAGTGTGGGAGAGCCATGCTTCGGCACGAATGGGTCGGCTCGACCGGAGTGATACCACGGCCTCACAGAAAACCGGCGTGAAATAATCACTGCGTTGTGTTTCGCCGTGTGAGTGAGGTTACCGGAGGCCCAATCCTTCCCCTTCCCCAATCCCTCCTCAATCCCTAAATCTCCAAATCCCTAATCCCTAAAAGGTCGGCAACGCACTCGTAACTCCGCCATTGCGAGTGTCCATGGGCGGCGCTGATTGCTTACCATCAGGTAATCCGTCTGCTTGTTTAAAACATAATATATAAAAAAAGTATAATTCCGTATTTATGCTGTGACTATGGCGCAGTATAAATAAATAGAGAATATTAAATTTATACTGTGACTATGGTAGGAAATTGTTTGATACAGCCATTAACTTCGGGGAACCCTGCTCTACAGAGCAAAGTTATTCTAGTTGATGTAGTTAATTCGGGAGTTTAATTAATTGCTTTTTCTATCGTGGTTCCACCTTATAGGTTTCTCCAATGTTGTGGGTGCTCTTATAAAATATACACGAAATCTTAGCACAAATTCTGGATCACACGATTGTCGAGGGAATCAAATTCGTGATACAAATACAGTGAACCAACAATAGTAATTGTTTAGCCACTGCTGGGCCTTTTACAGCAGCTTACAATACGACTCTTTTCTGTATGTCAATTTATTCATTGGCAATTCAAAATCAGATTCAGAATTTAAAAACTGACGATACGACGCAGGGCGACTGGCAGAGGTTGGATGAGAAGAACTGAACATAGTGAACATCGAGCTCAGTGGCGTGCTATTGGGGAGGCCTATGTCCAGCAGTCGATGTCGTGGTGGCCCGGAGGTTAAGGAGCCCGATTCTCATGCATGAGGGTGTGGGTTCGATACCTGGCAAGTACCAATGTGATTTTTTCCGAGTTATACGTACTTTCTATGATTATTTAGACACCACTGACATACGGTGAAGGTAAACATCGTGAGGAAACCTGGACTTGTAATTTCTAATTGTAAGTTTGAAATGTGGTGATTAATGCTCTAACCTTCTCCGTGTGAGAAGAGGCATTTGCTCAGCAGTGGGCACTTATAGGCTGATGATGATGTCCAGCAGTTGACGATATCAGGCTGATGATGACGATAATGATGATGATGATTCAAGATACCTTTTCGATCGCAAAATGCATTATTAAGCTTTTCGACTAACCTGGTGGACTAGGTGCGTCAGCGCGCCATGTGTGAGACAGTATACGGGTTTTGGCTGGTCCCTCTAAGTCCACCTGAGCTCCATCCAACACAAAGTAGTTTTGAAAAACCAGAGAATCTAATGGCCTGTTTTCTTGCCTATTAGTCGTATTGGCTATTAGCCTCTCAATCATAAAAGACCAGGTCTTGTTTCTGTGAAAAGGTAAGATTTGTATTTAGCGCCATCTATTTTCATATATGAGGAAATATAGTTTTCAAAATCAATCAACAGATGGCGTATTTTTGATGGTGCCATACACAGAATACTTTTTCATTCATATTGAACGGACGGCGAGTAAGGGTAGCTCGCCACCCGACCAGGACCAGACCCGAACGTACCACAGACGGGACTAATGTTCAGCCGGAGTAGGGGGGCAATCGCAATAAGCCACCACCGCATCGTTCTAGAGCAGGAGAAGGAACGGGGGCGTTATTAGCCAGTAAGAGTCTGACACTCCCTCTCATCTTACTCGAGCGGGAGAAGTCTGATTTTCCTTTCCACGAAAAAGGCATATACTTACTAAGACTACAGTTTCAGTTTCAAAAAAACCCCCCTGTTCCTTCTCCTGCTCTGTGCCTCATTGCGCTTACCCCGCAACCCCGGCTGAACATCAGCCCTATATCCGGCGCGCGCGGAACGCTACGCGCCGTACGCTCGGGTCTGGTTCTGGTCGGACGGCGAGTTGCTCTTACTTAGGCTAGTCTATAAAACATCACGCTACGACCAATAGGCGGGAAACAGAAAGTTTCTGCTTACGCTGGCGGCACAATCATCTCATCGAGGTCTATGGCAAGCAGCCAGGCGTGCCGCATAATGTTCCTGTAAAGGCAGTCGTTTAAAGGGAGTAGTTCCCTCCTCAGATCGTGAAAATCCCGAGTACTCCGCGACTGCTTTAGGCCAGACACTTGAGGAGCATGGTCGAATCCTGTCACTACTACAAATCCTTGGTCCACGTAGTATTTCAAGACTTTTCGCAAATTTGGGTGTATCTGGAATACATTTTTTATGGTGTAAGTCGGTTAACGAGCAGACAGAGTTCAAAACTCGGATGCGTTACCAGCCTTTGAGGGATGAAGGTTTTGTGGGTATTTGAGGATTGGTAAGGGATAGGGGGAGGAGGAGGGATTAGGACTCCGGTATCCTCACTCATACGGCGGAACACAACACTGTTGTTGTTTCTGAGGCCGTGGTATCACTCCGGTCGAGCCGACCCATTCGTGCCGAAGCATGGCTCTCCCACACTTCTTATTTTTATTTATGAGAGCCATACTTCAGCACCGCTATGTTACGACGGCCTTGCAGTCCCGCAAAGCGTTTCGTGTCACAGTACTTACTGAACAGATTGGACAGGACAGGACAGGACTCGCCCAATGCCATAAAAACTACAGTTTGGCGTGTGCTTAACTTACCCTGAGGATGTATATGTAGACTTCGTCAGCTCCAAAGTGCTTGATAAGCTGCAGCCATTCCACCAGGCTGGTGGAAATATCATTCCGATAATGCAGCCATTTTAGACAAACCGCTATTGAAGAATCGTTGCGGTGTGACGACATTCCCGTTCTTTTATTTATATGATTGTTGAATGGAGCGTTCTGTAGAAAAATAATTAAGCATAAACGGTAGCAGACGGATTAAGTGATTGTAAGCAATTGGCTCCGCCCATGGAGAACCACAACAGTCGAAAATACCATAGAAGTTACGATTGGGATGCCTGCTTTTAAGAGATTAGGAAGAGATGGGGAAGGGAAAGGACTGGTCCTGCTGTAAGCTTACTCATGCGGCAAAACACAACGCTGAAGTTGTATCACGCCGGTTTTTGTGAGGCTGAATTTAAAACCCTTGGCCTCATCCCCAGTTTGAAACCTGATCCTTTCAAACTATGACCTTCAACACGACTGCCAAGTGAAGAGATTGAGACACCCCTCTCCTGGCGTTGGAAGGTCTATCCCAGATGCTCAGCAATAGACTTTGAGAGGTTAATGGTACATGGTACATCCGAAGTGACCACCTCTCACAAAATACCAGCGTGAAATCTGCATGAGTTCTATGTGCAGATTCCAGTATTTGTTTTCTTTCCCTCAAATAATATCTTCTGATTTTTTCTTTTTTTTTATTTTAATGGGATCCAAAACAGTTGCTCATGTCCCTGTCAACCAGACTTAAGTATTTCGGTGTTTTCATGGTTGCGTCTGTAGGTCCTGGTGCCCAGGAATTGCAACGGTATAACGGCAGATGAGCAGACGGATTACTTGATGGTAAGCAATCACCGCCGCCCTTTCGTCGTTCGTTGCCGGACTCTCGTGGATTTTTAGGGATTAAGGGATAGGGAATTTGAGGATGGAAGGGGGAGGATTGGACTCACTCACACGCACCTAAGTATTGCTTCATGCCGGTTTTCTGTGAGGCCGTGGTATCACTCCGGTCGAGCTGACCCATTCGTGCCGAAGCATGGCTGTCCTGGGTTAAAAAACAAGTCCAACCCATTACGGTAATGGAATTTCTCTCACCTGTATATTTAGTACATTAGAGGTTTCACCACATGGACCTGTGACTACGGACACAGCGACTGGTGCCGCCTCCTTCTCAGGGGGGTGTCGACGGCAGGTACAAGTTAATATATACGGTTCATTCACCCCCATGACAGGACCATACCAGGCCGTTTGCCAGCCATACACTGGGGTCGCCAGCTCTGTTTGTGGTTCATTGTCGTTTGGGAACCTGGTTGGCGAAAGAATTTATTTTAGTAAATGCTGAGCAAAGACCTCTTCTAACACGGAGAAGGTTTGAGCATTAATCACAACGCTTGCTCAAGCCGGATTGGCGATTTCAAACTATATTTCAATTCTATTAAGAACTGGCGGATCGCCCTTGTTTCGTATGGGCATACCACTAACCCGGTATCCGTCATTTGTTTTGTAAGCGCACGGCCCCGGCACCGAAAGGGTTGACAATTCCCGATTTTTCCCTTTAGTTTTGTTTCCTAAGAACCTTCACCTAAGAATAACGAACATAACAAAAAAAGAATTGGTAAAATTGGTCCAGGCGTTATTGAGTTATGCGCTTACCAACACATTTTGCGATCCATTTTTATATTGTGAAGTGAAGATTACAAGTCCAGGTTTCCTCACGATGTTTACCTTCACCGTATGTCAGTGGTGTCTAAATAAATTAACTAAAAATCGCGGGTTACTCACGTGTAAATATTGAGAAAAGCTCTACTAGTTTCGAACCACAGAGGGGTTCTTCCTCATGAGCAGCGTGCGCGGACGCGGCGACGTCGCGCAGCCTACTCTGGCGTGTGCGATTTTTAGTTAATTTACGGTGTCTAAATAATCATAGATCTTTAGAAAGCACATATAGATAACTCGGAAAAAGTCACATTGGGATGTACTTGTCAGGTTCCGAAGCCACACCCTCATGCATGAGAAATGGGCGTCTTAACCTACGAGCAACCACGAAGTTTTTTTTCCACGACCAGAGTCATACCATGTTATTATTGCAGTCATTCTTTGCATGTTGCATTTATTGGCCAAATGAGAAACTTCGATATAAAATACCTAATTATAATAATTAAATTAAATATTCTTTATTTCAGGCAATTACACCCATAGCAATACAGGGTGTAAGGGACAGCCCTCCACAAATTAACAGGGTGCATTCAGCTCCTTATTCTGAATCATATTCCAGTGAAAATTCTTTCAGGAAAATTTTCAATTTTTTTTTCGTTTTTTCAGTTCCTACACCTCTATTTCAATGTATAATTACATTCTATGTATGAAGAATAACATTAATGTAAATAACACAGCTAAAACAAAAAAATACGCAATGGTTGTGTGAATTCTCTAAAGAACTACGCATGAAATCAGCTGTTCAATTTCTACCTAGCGCGAGTCGTTTGAACTCACCGCACCGCGGTCACGGCGCAGCGGCTCGGCGCCCCACCGCGCCGATCGCCGCGCCGCGCGCCGTAGGTATAATACCTACGATCCCGTCCAACGTACAGAATAGCTGCGTCCCTTTCTATCGCCCCGCCTCCGCGTCTCCCCGTCTCCCCGATTCTTTGCACAATGTTTGCCCGATTGAACCAGTGTTGCCAATTTTTAACTTTTGTTACCTCAGGTAGTAAACGAAAATGTTAGAACTAGCGAAATTTATCTAAAACTTGAGAACTCCTTTGCATTCATAATTACGTTGATGAGATTTTCATTAATCAATTAATGAAAATCTTGTCGCGCACATAAATTGAATAAGAAATAAATAAAGATTAGTCTAGTTTTAATTTTAAAACATTTACAAATACTACCTAATTTATTAATTGATTGTTCTTTTTAAGCGATTACTGGCTAGTTTTTAAACTACTTACAGATTTTTACATGGCTTCACAATAGCCATGAATTGATAGTCGAGCCAGAAATTAAACACAATCTCCCTGGAATGGAAGCACAGCTTTCTATCACACTGCACTTTTATTATTCTAAATTAACTAAACAATGAAATTGGAATTAAATTGATTTAATCAATTCATTTCTCTACAAAAAATAACAGAATGATAAATTACGACCATGTATAATTTTTTACTTTTTACCCCGAAATTTTGTAATTTTCGTGTAATTGGCAACAACAGATTTATGTTTGTGTGTGTCTCATCACATGCAGTCGCCATTGTGCCTTGCTGCGATGTTATTGTTTGTGTACCGCGAGCGTGTGTCGGCAGTGCACGGATCGCTCGCGCATTCGGCTTAAAAGTTTTGTTATAAGTAGTGTTGTTAAGTTTTATTAGTTATGTAGTGTGTGAAGTGTAGTGAAGTTTTGTTGTAGAAATTGTGCGAAGTTACTACCTAGGTACGTTTAGCGCGCGTGATTATGGGGAGATGATAATGTGTTGTAGTCGTGTAGGTATCCTGACCGTCGCCATCCATCAGACTCCAGGATAATTACTGGTGATTATCAACGCTTGCTAGAAAACCAGCCCATTGTTCCCAGACAAAAAGGCGCCGGAAGACCAATACCTACGTGGATTTTGGAATTGGTTCGCTAACGTAAGGAGACGCTACCACTTACCAGTGCTTTCCTATTTAAACGTAGTTTAGGTAGGTTTGGACCGCAACCGTGGCCAGCACGATCCCCAGACCTAACCCATTTGGACCCCTTTTTGTGGGGTTACGTAAAAGAAAAAGTGTTTGTGAGTGCGTGTGCAAGTGAGTACGAAATGCGAGACCGCATCACAAATGCTTTCCAGAGCCGGAAACCGGAGCGATTCTACTAAGGTACCTACGCATTTTTCTTTTTTTATCATTTATCAGTTACCATGTTATGATTGTTAGATTTTTTTTTGTAAGTAATGCGGCTATCTTTTAAATAATAATTTATTGTTATTAAAACGTGGCGCGAGCGCGATTATTACATTGTCTTTTGTAAGTAATGCGGCTATCTTTTAAATAATAATTTATTGTTATTAAAACGTGGCGCGAGCGCGACTGTTTGTCCGAAAGGTAAGGTCGCGGCGCTGCCCATAGTGTAAAGTAATAATACTAAAAGCGCTGCCGTTCGCTGCGTGCGTTTGCGGTGGTAGCGATACATTGCGTGTAAGGTAATGAAACAAATCGGTTTAATTGGATTCCCATAACGTTCCTGAAATAATTTCATGTACCGGTCAACTTAAGACGATATACTGAATCCACCCTATCAGTTTGCGGAAGGCTGTCCCTTACACCCTGTATATAAAAAAAAATCTAAAAAACTAAGCACTACAACAAACAATATAAAGTATTAAGTTTTTATAATAAAAAGTCTTTTATCTCTCTTCTAAGATGGTTAACACAGAACAGAGCAGTCACAATTTCGTTACAGCTCAGAGCTACTCTTGTGTAGAATGAGCCCTGAGTTTCTGTATTAGTGTGGCAAAACCAGCAACTCTGCTCTCGGCGAACATGTCAGTCGCACTACACCGCCAGGCAAGTTCATCATGGCTCGAAATGCATTATTGTATTGTACACGAAGAGTGTTATATGCACTCCTCGTGTAGCGGTACCAGAGTTGGCTGGTGTAGAAGGACTGACAGTACGCCTTGAACAGCCTCACTTTCACTTGTTTCGAGCAGTGATAGAAACGTCTAGCTAGCATATTACTTCTACATGCGATACTGCGTCTCTGTCGTTCCATATCCTCGTCATCCAAGAAATAATATGTCGAATGTGAGAATGAAATTTAATACACCGGTTTCTGGGAGTGAATAATCATCAAATATCTCTTCCGTGAGTATCCTTAGCGTCAGACAAATTCAATTTTATGTTATTTATTAATTTAATTACTGTTAAATTAAAAAAAATACAATACCTCAAATTAATTACAAAACCCACCACGTTCCTTTTCCTTTTTTTTATGTCATAGATCGGCAAATGAACGCACGAAGATTACCTGATGTTAAGCAAAAAGCGCCATCCATGGACACCCGCAATATTTTAAAATGTAATCTCGTGCTCCGAAAAGGGCAGCGGTATATCATTACGCTTGCATTCGCAACGTCTGGGCACGCTACTATAGCAGCGGTAAGACCCCTCTTTGAGGAGTGGCTTGAGAGACGCCACGGCGTCCTCACCTTCCGCCTGACGCAGGTCCTTACCGGGCACGGCAGCTTCGGTAGGTTCCTGTTTCGGATCCGGCGGGAGGAAACGCCCGAGTGTCGTCATTGTGAGGACCACCTAGAGGATACGGTGGAGCATACGGTAGCGGTATGCCCTGCCTGGGCTGAGCACCGCCATATCCTCAGGGAAGTGATCGGCGGCGGCGACCTCTCGCGCCCGGCCTTAGTCGAGGCCATGGTGCGGAGTGAGAGGAACTGGGACGCCGTCTCCTTCTTTTGTGAAGCAGTCATGCTCGCAAAGAGAGAGGCGGCCCGCGTGAGGAAGCAATCCTCCTCCTCACGCCCCAGCAGCCGCAACTGGCGACACTACGGGCGTCGGGGATCAAGGGACGATCTCCGGCCACCGTAAGTACGGGCCTGCGGTCGGCCGAGTAAGGGCAGCTCGCCACCCGACCAGAATCAGACCCGAGCGTACGGCGCGTAGCGTTCCGCGCGCGCCTCAAAGAGCCATTGGACCACCACAGACGGGGCCCTAAAGGGCTGATGTTCAGCCGGAGTTGCGGGGTAAGCGCAATGAGGCACCGCGACCTCGGCACAGAGCAGGAGAAGGAACAGGGGGGTTTTTAGTCAGTAAGAGTCTGACACTCCCTCCTGCCCGGCCCTGGCCGGGAGAAGTCATTTGATGATTTTCCCCGCACAAAAAAAAAAAAATCCGCAACGTCTGCTGGACGTCGGCTTTAGTAGATTAGGATGTTCTCCTGTTCCGTGAGTGAATTTACAAATTTACATACACAAGCCATCCAGTCCCGGAACAACAATTTCTGGATCACACAAAGAGCACACAGCAGCTAGTTGCCCAACTACTGCGCCGAATGTGCAGTTTAGGTGTGGGAGAGCCATGCTTCGGCACGAATGGGTCGGCTCGACCGGAGTGATACCACGGCCTCACAGAATACCGGCACGAAACAACCACAGCGTTGTGTTTCGCCGTGTGAGTGAGGTTACCGGAGGCCCAATCCTTCTCGATCCTTATATCCGCAACCCCTATCTCCAAAAGGCCGGCAACGCACTCGACTCTTTTGGTATTGCGGGTGTCCATGGGCGGCGCCGATTGCTTACCATCAGGTAATCCGTCTGCTCGTTTGCCGACTTATACCATAAAAAAGTCAACTCCTTGATAAATAACAGTGAAGAGCACTCGACAAAACGAAGTGGTCACTGTATTAGTCCAGGCTCTATTTCTTCCTTTTTTAGTCGGAGACAGAACTAAAGTATGTACATCTTTAACGTAGGTACTTACCATAACTGACAATAAAGTTTTGGTAACGGACTGACGTCAGAATACACCAGGATTCTGACCAACGGCTCCTCAAACCTGGGATCCCAATAGGCTCCATAAATATAAACACTTCCATTCTCTAAAGAAAGCAGCTGCCAAGATGTGGCAGCGTATTCCAAATCGCTAATTTCGGGAAATTTCATACAAGAGCTGTCTTTATACCTGTCTGGGTAAACGGATCGGTGATTCCAGTAACGGAATGGAAGTAGTCTGGAATGGGAATGGAATAGGATAGGATTTTGGGTAATGTGGGAATTTTTGGGTAAAGATAACCAAGTTAGAGTGAGGATCGTGAAGGCTGTTATGATGATGAAGAAGCTCCGACGAGAGGTAATAGGTGGTAGTCGCATTTCTGAAAATAAAACATTTTTTTAAACAACATTTAGATATCTACCGTGTCATAGGTCAATATCTTCTGATTTATTTCGTTGCGAGATCCAAGACAGTCATTCATGTCCCTGGGACTGTTTTCATGGTTGTATCTACTGTAGATCCTGGTGCACAGGAGTTGGAGTGTATTTGGGAGGTTGCAGCGGGCTTGACCCATTAAAAGAAAATATTTACACATCACATCCAAACGTAAATCAACTCAATTTGTAGATCACTCGCTTCCTCCCGCGGCTACGCCCGCGTTGTAGGTTGATAAAAGACCAATGTGTCAATCCAATCACTTATCCATATACCTGCGTGTGGGAGAGCCATGCTTCGGCACGAATGGGTCGGCTCGACCGGAGTGATACCACGGCCTCACAGAAAACCGGCGTAAAACAATCACAGCGTTGTGTTTCGCCGTGTGAGTGAGGTTACCGGAGGCCCAATCCTTCCCCTCCCCCGATCCCATCCAATCCCTAAATCTTCAAAACCCTAATCTCTAAAAGGTCGGTAACGCACTCGTAAATCCTCCGTTGCGAGTGTCCATGGGCGGCGCTGACAAAAAAAAACCTACCAAGTTTAACCGAATCGGTCCAGCCATTTATGTGTGAAACAATATCAAATATCTAAACATTCTTTCTCATATATAATATTAGTTGGATACCAAGAATTATTTCGTCCGGTAAAGGAATCCGTGGAACTTTGCTCAAGAATCGTTTGCTTAGGATCTAAGTCAACCAGCACCTGAACATTAGGTATTTTTTTTTACTTGTAGTAAACTAGTGCTTGACCGCGATCCTGCCAGATGGTAAGCAGTGATGCAATCGTTGATGGTAAGGCGCACTAGTTTATTAAGAGCCTATTCACTCTAGCCTTGAAGACACCTAAATTATATTCGGACGGAAAGACTGCAGCCGGCAAACTGTTCCAATCCCTCGATGTACGCGGTATAAACGATGAGGCAAAACGCTTTGTATATTCGGATAACTTTCTGCCTCGCATATCAAAACTATGGAATAGATAGTATTTTTGTGACCGGTCGGCAAACGAGCAGACGGATTACCTGATGGTATCTATGCAATCTGCGTTGCACATGGACATCCGCAACAACAGAAGAGTTAAGTGTGTTGCCGACTTTTTGGGGATTAGGGATTGGGGCATGGGAAGGATTGGGCCTCCGGTAACCTTAACCACACAGCGAAACACAACGCTGTGAGGCCGTGGTATTACTGCGGTTGAACCGACCCATTCGTGCCGAAGTATGGCTCTCTCACAGTTAGTTGGTGGCATTCACGAGCCGATACGATCTTCAAGTCTTTAAGAAAAGACCGTACTCCTAAAAAGGCTGGCTGTCTTAACTGCTCTGATGTTGCGGGTGCCCAGGTCTGCTCGTTCACCTTTAAATTAATTAAAAATACATACCTGAGAAGTCACTTTGTAGAAACCGCCAAAATTATTAAAGAATATCATGAAAAATAAATGAATATAGGTACTCTCAAAGTCATAATTTATGTGATCTATAATTTATTAAATCTGGCTCCGTCCCGTGAAGTTTAAAACAGTATCTATATAGAATAGGTACCTATATAAAATTTTATAATAAATAGGTACTATTTAGGTAAAAGTATAAAAACACTAATAATTTTGAAGTTCACTTTGTCTAATTAAATGTCAAAAACGTCACTGAGTCGGTATTAAAGTGCGAATTTTTGTCTTTGGCGAAATTCTTAATCAACAATGAGGTTATTTTCTTTGTTAAACTACAACAACTTTTTTAGTGGACGGAAAATCATCAGATGACTTCTTCTGCCCAGGATGAAGCGAGAGAGAGTGTCAGTCTCTTATTGACTAAAACCCCCCCGTTCCTTCTCCTGCTCTGGGCCGAGGTCGCGGTGCCTCATTACCCCGCAACCCCGGCTGAACATCAGCTCTATAGGGCCCCGTCTGTGGTGGTCTAGTGGCTCTTTGAGGCGCGCGCGGAACGCTACGCGCCGTACGCTCGGGTCTGGTTCTGGTCGGGCGGCGAGCTACCCTTACTCACCGTCCGCAGACCCGCGCTTACGGTGGCCGGATCGTCTCTTGAGCCCCGTTGCCCGAAAGTCGCCTACTGCGGCGGCTGGGGCGTGAGTAGGGTAGTTGCTACGCGCTCCGACACCTTCTTTGCGAGCGTCAATTCTTCGCAGAAAGAGGAGAGAGCTACTCAATACTGGTACTGCGCTCCGGAACAGGAACGGACTGGTTTTTAGTCAATAAGAGTCTGACACTCTCTTCGTACTTAATCCTCAAGTCCCTAACCCAAGCAAGGCGCTTCTAACTGCTGTTCACTAGCGCTGATTGCTTCTAATATGTATTCCGGGAGTCCATGGGCGGCGCCGATTGCTTACCATCAGGTAATCCGTCTGCTCCTTTACTGACCTATCACATGAAAAACAGTTAAAAGTCTGACACTCCTCTCCAGATTGCGAGAAGTTATTTAACAATTATTTTAAGAAATCTTTGTCCCACACTAGGATTTTCTCCTGTGTCGTGGGTGCGTTTATAAACATACAGTTTCACATACACAAATATCCACCCCTACGTTGTTGAGACACCTGCGGCCCGGACTAAGCGTTTCGCCTCATCATTTATACCGCGTACATCGAGGGATTGGAACAGTTTGCCGGCTGCAGTCTTTCCGTCTAAATACAATTTAGGTGTCTTCAAGGCTAGAGTGAATAGGCTCTTAATAAACTAGTGCGCCTTACCATCAACGATTGCATCACTGCTTACCATCAGGTGGGATCGCAGTGAGTGATCACACAAAGTGTTGTTCCGTGCAGGGTTCTAACCCGCGACACGTTGCACAGTAGCCAGTTGCCCAGCCACTGTGCCAACCATGCACTCTTGCCCCAACAATAAATAGAAGCGTTTTACCTACCAATAAAACGCATATTAATTTACTTACCTTATTCGAAGCTTATTTAATTGAGATAGGCACTACGTTTCCCGCCTTCACATTTCTATATATATCCATCTCTTTCTAAAACCTCACTTCCGCTTGGCAGTGGTAGGGAGGCTCGTAAAGCGAGCCTCGCCATTTTGAATTCATTGAGTCCAATTACCAGGCAGAACTTGTTCATAAGCTTCGAATAAGGTAAGTAAATTAATATGCGTTTTATTGGTAGGTAAAACGCTTCTATTAATTTGACTTGACCGTTATTCGAAGCTTATTTAATTGAGACGTGTTTGTTATCGCCTGGTGGAAGTGATGAAGACGCCAATGTGATATATTAGGTATTAATATGTAGGTAATTTGAGATCAAATTGATATAGGCATGAATAAGTAAAACATAAGTATTAGACAGTTTATATTTGATGATCAAGACAAAAAATATAAATAATAAATCATATTGAGTTTACAACATCAATTATAATGATTATACAAAAGATAAAGGTAATTACATTATTTCTAATCAACTGGATTAAATAATGCTGTTATTGACACACGGTTAGTAGCGGGTCTAACCTCGCGCTTATAAAATTTGCCAAATGTATTTTCGGACCGCCAATTTCCTCTAGCAAGAATTTCCTCGAGGGGGTAATTATCGACCCAATTTTTAGAGGCAACAGCTGACCTAATACTCCCCGGAGATGCCCGAATACCGGCTTCTGTTAACAGGGACTTGATCCAGCCTGCAATTAGGGTTTTCGATGCAGGTTTAGGTGCACCTCTAATGTTAATAAACAAATTACTACAATTTGCAGCATTTCTTCGATTTTCGAGAAGCGAGATCGAATGCTTAGCCCAATAGACCGGGTCTAGATTTTTATAACATTTATTTGAAATTAATCTCCAACCAGACTGTCTATAATCTACCGTATCAGTTTTCGATCCAAAAACCGGCCAAAAAATTACAACATCATCTTGATTAGAATAATAATTTGAGTCAACTCTGAGTAAAGTCAAATCATGTATTCTTCTACCGGAGCATAAGAGAAGAAGAGCAACTGTATGTCTCTGCGCTTGGAAAATATTATTTTCATCGATGCGTTTACTGTCCAGGAAATTAGCGAGGTCGTTTATGTTCCAAATAGGGGGCTTACCGTGAGGAACTGATTTCTGCAAAGCTATAGACTTTAAGACATGTTTTACTAAGACGTTTGAACTTAACTGGCCGGAAGAGTCTGGGTAACAAAGGGTTGAAACCACAGATTTGTGTAACAAAATAGAATTGTATGATAATTTATTTATTAAAAGGAGATCCGATAGAAATCTAGCTAAATCGCTTGCTGTTGGAGTTGAAGGGCTAATCTGATGCGTTTCGCACCAAACTAGCCATCTCCTCCAAGCAATACCATAAACTTGACGTGTAGAGGGACGCCACGACTTCTTAAGAAGCTCTAATTGATTATGATTCCAGGATCTTAACATCCCAGACCACCCCCACATTTCCAGACTTCCAGAGTCATTTTGTGGACGTTCGGCGGTGGTAGTCCTGTTGTCATGTCGATCAGAACTTTCTCTAGGTGATATATTGTGAATGGGGCTGCTAGGGCACGCGATTTGATATCGGGTCGCCAAAACACTCGCTCCCACCGAGATACTACCAGTAAGTACGTTCCCTGTGCTTGATTGAGGTAACCTAGGACTTTGGGAATCAGAAAAGGTGGAGGGAACAACCACGCTAGATTGTAATTTCACGTTCGGGAGAATGCATCGTAAAACAGGGCTTGGTCGTCTTTTTGGTCTAGTGACACGTAATTCGACACTACATGAGCTCGCTTGGACGCGAAAAGATCGATCAGTGGAACTCCCCATTTGGAGAATATTTTGTTCGTGCATTCTACCGACAGATGCC